TTACGATGAATTCTTTATTTCTGGATTCTTTATCAAATTCCGAGTCACATTCATTTATTTGGTATTTGCGCTGGGTTTACAATCCGCGGGTTCGTTTCAAAATGCCAAAGTCCACAATTCTTACCCCGGCACGGCAATGGCACTTATCGCTTAAAACTAATTTCTGGGCCATTATCCTCTTTGTTTAAACATTATAACGCTTTTGCATTCAAGTTTATAATTATTTTCTGATCAAGAATTGACATTTGAAAATACCCTTTCCTTCTACTAAGCGTATAACGTGCTTCTACCGTAAAACATTCTGGAAACATTCGACGATTTGTCACGGCCGCACTTTTCTGTTTTTTTATTTATATAAAAAACAGGCTCTACTTGTCGGCGAAAAAAAAGAGGTAAGCGGGATTCCCATATAAAATAAGTAAATCCATATAAGACCTTTACGGTACCTTTTAATATTCTTCTAACTTGTTCTCAAAACAGGTTGAACCGCCGCACTTTTTAACTTTCTTTATTAAAAGCTGTCTCGATATGGGTAGTGTGTGACTCAAAGTAAAATGATACTTGGTTATCCTTAAACGTTCTCGATTGAAATTACCACAAGAATAATCCTTTTTTTTTCATCATCTGATTACCAACCACTTATAACTGAGTTGGTAGGCTTCAACGTCACTCCCGTTTTTTTTCTATAAATACGTCAGTTCGTTTTTTACAACGTGGATTAGATTTCCTTCGGATACCATATCAAATTTAATGTAATCTGTAACGATTGATACATCCGCCATGTTCACCTGGGCAAATGCTTTTGTGTCGTTTACATTTTGAAAAACAAACTCCGCAGGAATTTTTGTAATAAACACAGCACATGTGCATCTTAATCGCCACGTAAATTTGGAATGGTGTGGCTAATTATACCAGTCAATTGTGTAGAAGAGTAATTGCCGATCATAATTGTAAAATTGAGTGACATATGTGCAATTAACAAGATTTTTTGTGTCAACCAACGGGAAGAAAGATTGGTATTCGGTCGTCGACGAGACGGCGATTTGTTTGAGTAACGTTCACCTAATTAACTTCATAGATTGACTCATAATTTAACAAAATGTAATTAGCAATTACCCTCCAGGAAATCAATTAAAAGATTAATAGCTCCTCCGCTACGGTTGGTACGTATAGACGTCGCCCATATTTAATATGATTGCTTGTGAACTGTTTCCGCTCTCGCAAACACTACCAAAAAGTACCCCTGATATCTATCAATGAAATTACTTCTGAGCTTTCCACTATGTTCCCCTGAAGAATTTGACTTTGAACTCCATGGTAGCAAAGATGTTCGTGAACAATTCGAGGAGTTCTTATGGACTTCGGCTATTCTCGACAATATTTGCGTGTAACTGACATGTTACACATTCCTTAATTCATATCTTTAAACAGTCATTATCAGTAATTATTCGGCCCCTCATTACATCGGCCGATATACAGAGTGTGTTGAGTATTAAGAAAAATTTGGTGGTAGAGGGATTAAAATATGTTTTTCAAATAAATATTTCGTTTGGGAGTTACGCGTCTAAATGTACCAAAATCTGCGTTTCTTCCTCCAGTATTTACCAAAAATGCGCCAATTACACTGCGTCCCCACTTACGCTAAAAATAATGCGCACCTCGTTGATCACCTGCATCTCTTGTTATCAGCACCAGAACACGTGCGTTAATTAAATCTCGCCCCATCCCTACATTTTAACACGCAATTTCACGTTTCCGAATTAAAAAAAACAAATATAAATAAACAATACGCAATTACAAACAATTCTAAAAGGAAAACAACACCACAGAAAAACAAATTCAAATGAAATAAACCAATTCTGTGCTTATTCGTAAATAGCACCCCCGATTTACTCTACTAACTTGAAATGTTTCTCATATACAGGGTATCCCGTTATTTTTAGTGTTTAGACCAAAATAATTACACAATATCATATACAAGGGTAAACAGCATTCAAAAGATTTATTGCATTTAATGGAAACTGTGTGGGGGTGGTAGCAACCCAAAAGAGTTTTAATGCTAAACCACCCTGTATACTAATTAGTAATTATTGCTTACTAAATTGCGAGTGTGAAATTAATTGCCTCGTGTATATCTTCTTAAAATGACAATAAAAATTAATCAGACTGCAATACGTTAATAGATTAAGAATTTCCAGGTGCGAGTCTAAAACTTTGCAAGCAAATTGCCTTCACAAAATCACCTGCAAGCAAATCACAAGTAGTTACATCGTCTTCACCGAAGTATACACAATTGTGTATTGCTTGAAGAAAGTGACGGTTTGGTCCTTAAATACAAATTAACTACAACGCTGTTTACATTCTAAAACGAGGTGAAAACTACGAAGAAAATGGTAATAACTACGAAAAGTGGCAGTACTACGACCCGATCAAACTAAAACGTTCATAAACATCTCTATTGTTTGTGCGCCACGAGTTTTTGATGCGTTCGGGTCACGGCTTTCAATCCAAATGGAAATCCCCCCCCCCCCAGCTGTGCTCTGCACGGACCGACTATAAACTTCCCGCTGACTGTTTTTTCGATATGGAATTAAAATTGGCTCCTCAGCTGCACTCTGCACGGACCGGCGATAGAATCCTCGTTGATGTTCCGTTGTAGATTTTTTTTACTTTCTACCCTGGAAATTCTACGAAAATCTTCGTCCACAGCTTGACGCTGGCTCGATAATGGTAATTGTGCAATTACCATAAAATATTCACGTACATATTAAGTTCGCACTGTATTTTCAGTTGAACATAAATCCGCCATCCATTAGTTTTCACTACACGATGAAGGACTCTGTACAAACCAGCCACATATCAATTTTTTACATGCTTATATTTCGGACATTGATTTTTTCCGAAATATAAGCATGTAAAAAATAGTATAACAAAAAAATGCAGTTTTCATCTTATTCCTGGAATAATTTAATTAAAATGACAACTCGTAACGAATTTAGAAGGCATCCACGTCAATAAACTTGTCAAATTTGCGGAAGTTTCTCTAGTATTTCAGTAATTACTCAACTTTCGCACTAAAATATAACGTACGATACCGCGGGTAGTGGTTCTTTCGTACCCGTCGATGACACGAACTCGTTTATGTTTTCAAATTAATACAAAGGATACGCTATGTAAAAAATGTAGCACTTGAGTTACATAGATTCACCTCGACCGCTTGGTGAAGAATGCCGTTCTCCCACCAAATTTTTCACAGCCTATTCGCCGATCTGCTTGAATACTTGTTTCTTATCTTAAAGTGCTTTATTTAGTTCTGTTCTATTGCCTTATGAAGCGGCACACGTATAAACTTTCCTATACCCGCAAATTTGTAAATTTCATTAAAAAATCTTTAACGCCTAAAGCGACCATGTGTAACATGATACGACAGTGTTGCAACTTAGGTTTGAAATTTTTTCAAAATTTACTCGGTGTAACCCTGAAGTCTGCCGAATGTAGGGTAGGGGTAGGGTAAGAGAAGAACACATTTTACAAAAAAAATTGGATTATTATCACTCTCCAGTATTGAGGAATGGAAGAATGGGCTACTTTGCTCCGAGGGATATCGACTTTGGAAATACACGCGCCGTTTGCTATAGGTATCACTTCGAAATCACGGAAATGAATTAAAAATTGCAGAAATCGCGTGAAAACCATCCGGAATCGCTTGAAAATCGTCGGAAATTATTCATTATGAATTTCACTCCATCCTCGCCATTTTCCAAAATTCGAATATTGACCGTATAATAAATGATACCTCCTTTAAATTCATAATCTAATATACACAGATACTTACAAAGTATAAATATAAAATATTGTCTGACATGAAATATCTATCCGGGTCGCACAAAAGATTCGAATAAACCCCCGATTAGTTGATTGACAATAAAAATTTATTCCGATACACATGAAACAATTCCTGAATGAAAGAAAAGCTTACAAATCTTGTTTGGACATAATACCCCGCACGCAGACGGTCGATAAATAAAATAAAAAAATGTTAAAATTATTTAGTTTTTTTTTAATTCAAATAATCTGGTCGGAAAGGTTTGCGATATTCAGGCGCACTAAATTCACACAAACACTAACAGCTTCTGAATTTCACCTGTTCTTGACAACATTAAACAAAATCTGGTTTGATGAGTAAGATGAACAAATTTTCGTTGGCTGTTCAGACGGTAAAATCTTTTAACCTTCACTAAGCAGACAACTGCTTGGTCTAATCGCATTCGAACTAACGTTTTCTCAATACGGACAAACCATTTTAAAAAATATTCACAAACGTCCCGTCATTATTTTTGGTGTTTAGACCGAAATAACGTCTACATGACGTTGTTTACACAACACAATGTGTTTAAAAGAATACATGATAACGAACAAAATCTTCAAAATTATTTTATGCCACAAAGAAACTATTCGGTAATTAAAATTAATGGAAAGCAAGTTTCATCGTTGTTTATTACAAATTATGATTATCATCATTTAACCTGAAAATTAGAGTGCATTCATACCACGAAAGAGATTGGATTATGCCAATTACTAACAACTGATCGTAGGTTAGTGAATGCATTCACAGCGATAACAAAATTGCGCAATAGAACCAAAGTTAGGTGCTCCCCAGGGTTCTAATGCGCCACTACTATTTAGAGCCAGCGTTTTTGTTGAATCAAGTAATGCTTATCATTCAACTGGAAAAATGCGAATATAATCTATAAAAAATATTTATTGACGCATCCCAGTTTTTGGAAGGCAAAAACGAACAGCAACAAAACATTGTTATCTGCGGTTAGTAAGAAATGCAAACCGCAATAGAGGATGAAAGTTGTTATACTATAAACTGTGATGTGGTTTAACCTTAAAAGTTATTCATGCATAACAGATTATAGCGTCATTATATTACTCAACCACTAATTTATATTTGATAGAATTGTATTAACGGCAATCTTTCTTTTTTGTTGCAGATCGTGGAATTTACACCTGGTTCCATTCCGTCGCGTACATTAGAAATAGCGATCAGCGGAGGAAGCGATGTAACTCTACAACCGTACACGCTAAATTCTCCCATCGGTTTTCAATTTCTTCGAGTCGATGGGACCCGCCGATTCGTCATACGCAAAAATGCGTTTTTAGATCTTTCCTCGGCCAGTTTGGCGTTTCAGGTGGTGAACTGTGATCGCTTGGTCGTGGAGACGCACGCGTTCAAAAATATGCAGGTAGCTATCTCGAGAACCATGATGAATGGCTATAAGTTTGCTTTTAGACACCAATTTCCGTAGATGTAAGTCGATGTTCCTACGTATCTATACAAAGCTCCGCGTTCAGCCGTTTGCAAGACGGAAAATTTCGCAATATCCCCTACCTCGACCTGGCCGAAGACGCGTTTCTATTCGAAAATCAAGGAATAATCGGTCGCCATGGTCCAGTATCATCGGTAAGCAAGGTTTCGTATACGAACGTGCGGTTAACTCGATATGTTCCAGCTCTCATTCCATAATGTAATCATGCCAAAAATACCGACGGACACATTTCATTCGTCGCTGGCGGAAATTAGTATAAAGAATTCGGAAATTAGGGAAATTCATACTGATGCGTTTAAAGCTAGTCAAATATCTGCAATACTATTTGTAAATAGCACCATACATAAGATCCAATCCAGAGCGTTTAGCGATCGAACTCTCCTAATCAATTTCAAATTCACGAAATGCAAGATTCACCTCTTGGAAATGGGATCTGTTATGGCATCCATGACGAACCTTACTGTTGAACATTCCAAGTAAGTACATCAAGTAATTCTTATCCTTTGGATACACTTTTTCCGGACTAACAATCAAACTCCCAACTAAAAAATTATGTGCGCCCTTAAAAAAAAATTGAGTTTCTTAAAGCTCTTTAAATCGAAGCCTTTGGCGATAATCCGTACAAATACAGCTTAAAACTAATTAGGGCAGAACACGGGACCATTTTATTTTATAATCTCTGTTATAGTAGGGGATTTTCTCGAGCGCGTCAGACTAAAGTAAAGTGGGTTGACTACGTGTTGAAAAGTGTACATTGCAATAATCTGACGATTTTAACGAAGACAGTGGGAGGGTCACAAACTTGCAAAAAGACATTGGTAGGTGGAGCAATAAATTCCACATTTCAGAAATAAATTAGGCACTGAATTGCGATTACTTTTAAGGAAATTCGACGGTGGGGGTGCACAGTTAACGACCATTATTATAGAGAGTGGTGAGGGTTGTAATAAAAAATGAGGTTAACATTGCTAACAATGCGTAAACCTCCATCGTAAATCAAAAATCAATATCTTCATGATTTAACAATCAACATTTTTACACAAATGCATCTTCATCAAAGGGGGGTGGGCAATAGAAATAAAAAAGTTTCTAGTAATGCAAATCGTTTGAGCGAGTATCTAAAAAAATATTGGCCACACCAGAAGAGTCATTCATCCCAATTGAGACAGTCCGTTTAGCCATTTTCCCAATGGAATTTGTGAATAAATAATATCGACTTGGATTTACGATTCAACACTTTCGCTACTTAATAATTAATGATCTTCGCGGCTTATTAAGTACCACTAGATTGTAGTTCTGCGCTGAAAGTCAAATGGGAAAATCGACGTAACGTAACTCTTTGCAAATTGCACAGATTTCCTTAATTTGCCTGCTCTATACATATTACAATTACTCAGTTACTCATGTCTGCGGTTAAATATAATTATGTATTCAAAAACCCAATATAAATGAAAACAAGTAACCTTGTACTTTAAACATACTAGAAGCTTGATAGGTCAAATAGCATTAGATACACATATTTTGAATGGTAGCCGCTTCCCACATCGAATGCAAAATGTTTCCAGTCCAAAAATATGCGTCTACCCAAAACGCGCTATTCGTTTTCGGACGTTTTTCGTCTAAAATTTGTGCAAACATCAAGATCTTTTGTCTCTTGGCCATCGACGCAACGCATGAGGACTTTTCCCCACAAAGATGGTGCATAAATATCGACTTCAATATGTCAAATGCAAATGATTCTATGATTAGGTTATATTATACAGGGTGATTCACGTAGCCCGTTCGTTAGAAGTTGAAATGGAAACTCGAAATTTGGTTGACAGCCATAATCGACCATTGCGAATTGCAATAAAATAATTTCAAGATGGCCCCGCTTCCGTAAATACCGGAAGTGGCGCCGCCATTTTGGATTTTTAAAATAGAAACATAGCAGTTTCAAATTGTTATTCTGAATTCAACGCAATTAAGATTTAAGTACGTATGTTCGAAAGTTTTTGACATGGCCATTTTTCTCTAAAAATGTGAAGAAGTGTCCATTCAAAAATGCATATCTCGAAAACCATTCAAGATAAGTGAGCGCTCGTTTTAAATGATCGAATGCTTAGAGTGTAAGGAATCTTAGGACCGCTGAAAGTCATGAAAAAGTCTCCAGGCCTGCTGCGATTTTTGAAAATTAGCGATCAAGAATGTAAAAGCTTCTTTTTTCAAATTGCAACTACTATTTCTGATGCGAGAAATGGATGTAGATTTAAATTTTAGGACCACTTTTAACATTCTATTCTATATCCGGTAGTTATTGAGCATTTTTTAAAGAAATATATTCTCATTTCTCATTAGGTGTAGTATGTAGGCTTTGGATGCAATCGTTTTATTTTTCATGTCCTTCGAATTGAATGCCAAACAATGTTATCTTATAGTGTTCAATTTTTATTTTTATTTATTGTTATTTATGGCGAGGATAATCAAATGACAATAACTCAAAAACTACAAGATATTGGCATACATTGGCATGTTTGGCATTAGTAGTAGTTCCAATTTGATAAACTGACATTTCAATTTTTGTCATTTCTTTATTGCTAATTTGGAAAAATCGCAGCAGCCCTAGAAACTTTTTCACTCGGCGGTCACTAGATTCGATTATAGAAAAGAGCACGGTTTAAAAGACACGAATTGTTGAATGGACCCTTGCACCTTCAAATTAGATAAAAATTGACATATGTCAAAAACTATGACAGGTAGGTACTTTGCGTTGAATTCAGAATAAAATAGCGCATTTAAAAAAAAAGAAAATGGTATGTTTCTATTTAAAAACACAAGATGGCGCCATTTACGGTATTTATGGAAACGGCGCGATCTTGAAATTATTTCATTTCGATTCACAATGGTCAAACAACACTCAAGCAACATTTAAATGTAAAATTATATTCAAACATTGAAATAATCAGATGCTGGAATATTGAAATATAAAAATATTCAATACTGGGAGTGTTTAAATAATATTTAGAGAACACTAAAAACACCAATCCGAGTCCCAATTCAAATTAATCAGGGTGGAAATTTTGCCTGAAATATTGAATATATCTTGAAATTAAAACAATATTTTTTGAAAGAAGTTTTGTATGGTATCATCAAAAAATTGCTACCAATGTCTACGTACTTTAAATTTGTGGTCAGTGGCGTAACTCTGTATGGCCAACGGAGGCATATTTTTCTTAACGGCAACTAGTTTTGGTTACATATTATTAAAGAGTACAGTTTTTTTTAATATAGCAGCATAAAAGAAGAGTATGTAATTAATATGACCCCCTGGACCATGCAGAAGTACGCTACTGGCCACAAATTTAAAGTAGGTACATAGTAATGTAACCATTTTTTTAAAATAATTTTGGATACCATAATCTCTTTTAAAGTAAATTGATTCTAAATCTTGTTTGGCGAGTCTATACGGAGCGCATATGTACTATGAATAGTCACAGTTACGAAAGGAATATGAGTGAAAAGGACTTACTTGTTGTTTCGAAGTAGGCCTTCTTATACCAAGGCGCAATAAACAAACGAAGACGATAAGGGATGCGACAGGGAACCGTTGGTTGCCTTTTGCGATAGCCATAACGTAGGCGATGATTTGCAGCTACAAGAACGAGGATTTTGTAGGAAATCACGGCGATGTACAAATTATATTCGATGAAATGACATGGTGCTTTTTAACAGCCATGTTCATTGTTAACGATATATTCTTCGAATGTTGTTCAACTTCAACTTGTACGCGTATTCTAACTTCGACGGCTCATGCGCCGCACATGACAAGTGGGAATATATATAAATATATACAGAGACAGGCGAAATAATTATATACAGGGCGTGCTAAGGATAATTTCAAAGGAATAACTAAAGGTAATAAAAGTCCTATTTTGGGGAGGCAACATATACGTCTGTTTGAGTTTAGCTGTCACAGCGGATATCTCGACTACTGTCAGAGATATGACAAAATATTACAGAAGAAAAATTGTTCTACATTTAATCTGTTATAGCCAAAAAACAAATGAAAATCAAATGTTTTAGGTGCAGCAAGTAATTAAAAATTTTAAATAAAATCTATCAAATTTTATACTACGCACGATAAACTGTACAAAATTCTCTTTCCAACGATATATCACATGTCGCATCAGTATCTATTCTAATAAATTAAATAAGTAGGTAAATCGATAATTAAAGTACAAATGCACGCTTCCGTAGATTATAGCTTTTTATCAGAGAAAGTAGGCGAGGAAACTATTTGTCAGCTTGTAGTTAAACAAATAACATAACATGAACAAATGCTGTAGTGTACCTCCATAGCAGATCCATGTTTTCATCGCCTACCGTGCATTTGTTACTTAATTATCGATTTACGTATTAAACAATTTAATGACTTGTGATATATCGTTGGAAAGAGATTTTTCTACAGTTTCAGAATATGTAAATTGGTAGATTTCATTTAAAATTTTGAATGATTTGCTGTACCTAACACATTTAACTTTCAATTATTTTTTAACAGACAATGTCGTTTTTATCATATCGCCAGCAGTAGGTAACAGAGACAGCTTCAAAAAGACTGTATTCATAGTTTCAGACAAAATTTCCACCTTGTACATTTTCTACCGATATTGCAAGCCTCTACAATTGAATTTGGCTAAATTCAATTCGCCTCATTAAAGTTATATCCATAAATTCATGTGCAATTTAATTTTTTTCTTGGGCGATAATTAGAGTCAATTGTTTGACCCGTTCAACAAACGTATAAGCATTTAAGCAATAAACCTCCAGTGCTCTCTTGGGCGAATTTTTATGAGGAAATTGGAAACTTATGTCGATGTTAAATCATGTGACGAGTGCTTTAGTCCTGGATTTTTGTCTCTATATCCTTCCGTCCGTGTGTGCACGATAAAGGTGGGTATCGTTGACACACTCCGCTAGCTCTAGAACGTAAACAGTTCGAGAATACGAAAGCGCAGGAACTTGCATTTCAAGTTCTTGCGATTCTGAGATTTTTGAATTCCTTCGGGTGTTCGATTTTTAGGTTGAAATTGGTGCCATATTGGAAATGTCATCTTCACTTATCACTAATCTGCAGTTTACAAAGGTGTCACCATGGCGAATTACTCGTCCCAACTTTTCAAATTGACACGGTGCATTTATCTCGGGCGGCAAAAAAGATTACCTCGATATCAAAACAAACTGGTTTGCTGAACACATTGACAAATTTTCGATGGCTGTTCGAACGGAATACTTTTAACTTTTATAACTCTTCCGTAAACGAACAAATCGTATTAAACCTCTCACAGGAATGTAATTCAACTTCCATTTTCCATTTTAGAATTGTAATTCAACTGCTCCTGCACAGATTATTATGATAACGACGAAACTGCGTCTTCAATAACCATAAAGGTTAGCGTACAGAAGCGTACACGCTCTTTTTTTCCCGCCGCGAGAAGTACAGCATACGGTGAGACAGCCCAGCCCGGCTTAGGCTAACAAGCACCGTTTCTTCCTTATTTTCCTATTTAAATGAACACCACTTCCCCGTGTTCCCTCTACCATAACAAACATACGAGCAACAGAATCATACACCTGCATCTTAATAATCAGCGCCAAACACACGTGCGTTTCGAAATCAATAAACGTTCGCTTATCGCCCACCACCAGATAGCACTTAAATTATGCAATTAAAAACAATTCTAAAATGGAAAAATTGACACTAAAATAACAAATTCAGATGAAAATTCGGTGCGATTATTCGTAATGAAAAAATCCTCCAGATTTAAATTACATTAAAATTTTACCCATATACAAGGTTGGCCCGTTGACGTTGTTTACACAATAATATTTATACATTATACGGATATGACTCTCTCGCCATGTCATATAATGCAATAAATAAAAAATATCGGTGGCTTATATACATTAGGTACCTATATCGTTCACTTACATCACTAAGCAGATTTATGATAATCTATCTATCTGAAACGCATTTGCTATACATTTTTCCTTTCAACATGAATTTTTTATTCTTACATTTACCATTTTATATTTTCTTCCACGGCTCTGAGAATGATAAAAAAAATTGATAAAAGGTTTTCACCCTATATAGCGCATTTTCCATGAATTGAACAGCGCTTCTCTTTTATGAAGAGTGGACAGAACCAAATAGTGTTGTCGCAAAAAATTTTTCACGTCACGATTGTCTACCTATTAAAAAACAATGTAACTGTAGATATTAATCATGAAAGTAAATCTAAAGGTCATTTTAATTATAAGGTTTGTTTATGTTAAGATCTCGGTTAAGATAGTTTTCATAAAAATAATATCCCACATCAGATAGGTATAATCGAGGGTATAATATTTTTGGGTCAAACTGAAAGGGGTAAAATTAGTTCGCTCGCTTTAGGGTTATGGGGGAAAATAAAAACATTGTCCATTTCAGAATGACCCTATAATTTTTTAGTTAAAAGAGAATGATTGTTGAATAATGTGCCGTATGCAAAATAAGTATACAGAGTCAGTTATAGTTATTTACATAAAAGTCCGGAAAATGACACATTACTGGCGAGGAAATTTGAAGTACAAGAGGGCCGAGTACTTTACTTGCGAGTCAAGTAATGTCATTTTACTGACGAGTTTTGTATTAAATTTTACCCGAAATCGTATTTTAACATAAAATTTCGATTTTCATATAGAACTTTTGATTAATGCCAATCTATCAATGATGACAGGAGTTATTATAGACATTTAGCAATGTGACACGTGCGGCAGGAAAAGTGACAGGTGCGGCCGGTAAAGTGACAGTTGCGTCCGGTAAAGGGACAGGCGGCAGGAAAAGTAGACTGGTCTGCCTCCGTCATGGAAACTGACATTTTCTCTCGTATTTTCCTGACATAAAGTAGGCATGAAAATGAAGGTTTCATGACGATTTTGGGTAAAAAAAATTATCGGACCTTACTTCATTTATTTAAATGTAACAAAATGACCACATATTCAATTCATATTCAAAAACATAAAAAAAATTTGTTGTTTAGAGTAGGTGTGCTGCCACATTTGTTCCTCTTTTTCATCGCAGTAGGTATTAGATTGAAGTTTTGAAAGAATGCACAAAAGAATGGAAAATTTAAACACCTTTCACATTTCCTTCATATCTGCCAGCATTAACAATGCATTTAAGATTTTGTGTGAGAGATGCTTCATATTCATCCACCAGCAACTTTTCATACTCTACTGGATTTGGATTTTGCACCTACCAACTTTTCTTGTGCTTTTGCAACAAGCCACCGTGGATTATCTTTTTCAACCGAAGTCATTTTATTTACAAAGACAGTGATTTTTATAGGCAAAGGTCAAGTGACATTTCCATTTTTATGGAAAAACCGAAAAATTAACAAAAATTAGTAATACTATGAAAGTCTACACTCTTTCTTGTAACCATCAAAACTCTGCGCAATCATTTTAAAATTTAAAGCACCATGTCGAGTACTTATGACCTTGAGCACATTTGACGGAAAATATAAGCTAAAAATACCTTAAAATAAACTTTAAACTGGAATAGATAAGTATCGTCACGATGTCGTTACCCGTTTCTCAGTTTGCATTTTCTATTTCTAGCGCATTTTTGCAAATTTATTTGTAAAAAGGTAGCTTTTAATACTTTTAATATCAGTTTGGCCGGCCGGCTGGCTGGATAGCAGCAAATGCGGACCTGTAGAACAATACTAAATGATGTGGGGTCGGCAACACGGTGATTTTTCAGTTTTTTTCCTATCTTTTACAGTTTTGGTACGATTGTTTTCCAACTGATGTCGGAAAGATCTTGTAAGCGCGCACAACTCCTGCGTGACGGAATTATTTTTCCACCTTTTGCAAGGCACGCGTTTTCGAGGGGTAGTCGACTTCCCAATGCAAATTTTGCCACGCAAGTTTCTTAAGGCTCGAATCGCGGCCTCTCTTTCTCGTGTCGCCAATAGAAGCTCGAGCTACAGAAGTGCCCCAAAAATGAAGTACTATTTTGTGGAGGGTTTTTTGCGAAATCTATCAAAATGGCGTATTTATATGACTGTGGGGACGAGCGTCAGAAGTGGGTAATTTTGTTGTTTAACAAAAAATGCCACTTTCATCTCATCTAATTCGCCCACAAATAAAATTTTGGAAAAATAAAGACAAACACTAAAAAATACACCAAAAAGAGGTAAGTAAAAATCTGGCCAGTAAACCTAATGGAAAGAGTATCCATCAATATTATACGACCTTTTTGCGCCCTCGGGAAGTGCCTAGTCTGCCTAGTAGAAAATGCCCCCTTGTATCAACCTTGGTAGCTACTACGGAGTTCATCAATTCAGGAACGCAGTGTCCCTTAGTATTGGAACATGGTATCTCCACAATCCTAATGATACGATGAGACTGTGAACATTAACATAGCACCCCCTCAAAAGTCAAAGGCTATATTACCAAATGATCCTAGAGAAACTAAAAGTTCCTTTAGTCAGAAATTTAAAATGACGCTATCGTACGCTTTGTCTAAACACTTTCGTCTAATTGTGTTTTTAGCGCATTTTTTATGAATTAAAAAAATGTGCTATTGTTTGCGTTTTGTCCGTCCGTCCGGACCCACTTGTGCCGTTTCGAACTACTTCTGTCCTCTTATCAAAATACGGGATGGAGGGGGAGGGGGGAGTGGAACTAGTTTTATCCTTCACGGTACTCTAATGAAAGATCTCAACGAAAGGAAGTAATTTCTACCAACCATAGCCCTCCTCCTCGACCTCTTTATCGTGATCGTGTATATTCCCTTATACCTCAAGCATGGATTGTCGGAAGAGGGTACCCACAAAGGGCGATTGAGCCATCTGCAAGGAATATATCCATTGGTGATGTCAAAACAAAAACTATTTCGGTTAAAAAAAATGCGCTTTATCTGCACAAGAGTTGTGCACAATTTATACTTGTTTTAGTTCTGTTGCTATAAACGATGTTGATTATCTTTTTTTTGCAGGCTTACAGAGATACAAACAGGAGCCATAAATAGCACAGTAGCAAAAGCCATAATATCCGACAACGAAATTGGAACCTTCCACTCTCGCGGATTCGTTTTAAACAACTGGAATCGTATCAACATGGACAACAACATAATAAAGCGCGCGGGCAGTTTCTTCCTCGATGTGCCTTACAATCACGAAATTCAACACTACGAGTTCACGTTCATAGGAAACGAAATTTATCGCGTCGAAACTAACTCGCTAAGTTTCATGCCCGACCTTCACTATACCGTGCAGAATCTTAAATTTGATAATAATTTTTTTAATCAAACATGTCACTGTGATATAGATAAGTGGGTATTAGAGTTATTAGGGGATCAAGTGCAGGATGCGTCGTTTGTTCTCAATACTAGTTTTTGTACGATCAACGCCCTTCTGGCGAGGTGCTTCGAGCTGCAAGAGGGACTCATCAACATGCATAACTTTACTCAATTGGTGTGCGGAGTTGAAGACTCGATCAAGTGCGAACCCTACTCGGGCGAAACGAAAATATTGGACACCACGACGATAATCGACACCGAAAACGCAATGGACTCAAACAGCAACTTGATCTTGGGGCTCGTACTGGGTGCAGTAGTAGTTATAGCGATCAGCGGTACTATCGTAATTTTACTCATTCGCGGCGGACTGTGGTTGAAACGAAAGGGATACTGCATGCGATTCCGAAACTTGCACTATCGCAATGAGCACCCGATATCGGAAGAGGAAGGTACCATCGTCCCCATCGAAAGTCGCGACAAACTGGACGTACCAGAAGAACTAACTCCGGAAATCTTGCAAAGGCTCAGAGAACAACTGGAGGACCCCACGACGCACGACGACGCCCGAGAGATGATCGAAAGGCTGTACGAACTTTTCATAACCGGCGAAAGCTACACGAACAATAATAAGCAAGACGAAGAGGCGCATCTGTACGAAGAATTGGGAAATTTGCAGCTACCCGCGGCGGCACAGCACGAAAAGCGTCTAAGCGAAACCGAACCGTTCGGTTTTCTCAGAATGATGGAAGAGAAATATAATACGACCGCCCTTGCGATTTTGGGAACCAAACCGGCGTTGGTCGACGAGTACTCCGAACCGACTGACGCGGCGGTTCATCTGTACTCGGAGCTGCAGAACAAGACTGACGACGTTATTGACTTAGATGGAAAAGATTCCGTAAAGTCATTTCCGAGTGGAACGCAGAGATCCAATAATTCCAGAAGTATTGCATTTCGCCCACTGCCCGAGAAGCCGAGGAGTATTTTCGATGAAGCTGGGCCTTCGAAGATGTAGTTGACAGAACTGAGTTGTTTCTTTCATTTACTCTGTAAAGATATTTTTATTTTTGTTTACCAAATAATCCTAATGCGATTTTGAGAGTTTAACTGTTTATTGGGTTTGATACGCCCTACTGTGATAAATGTACAGTTTTCTATAATAGTCGTCATGTTAATACTGTGTATATTTTGAATTTTGCAGTTTGAAGTCGACTTCGCTGTGTTTATACTGTAATATATGTATATCTAATCGTCTTAACGTGAGTTACTATAAATTTTATAAGAGAAGAGAAATAAATAAGTTTTAAATTCGAGTTAGTTAATTTAAGTGAACAAAGAAAGTACAACAGACACTAAAGTACATACATCCTTCACAATGACTTATAAAAATAGAGCAGTTGGACGTACATATACGTAATACCAATTTTTAAATCAGTCATAAAGTTAGTTAGATGCTCACAGATTTTACTCTTAAAGTGTATAAAGTGCAAGTTGAAAGAATTGAAAATCATGCTCGAATTTTAAATATGCTTGCAGTTCTGTTCGAAATATACTATCATTCAAAATTCTTACGCCTAGGTATTTCCTTTCTAAACCCGCTTAGTAAAAATGTAAATTGTTCCCGTAATAGATTTATTACCTTAGTCCTTTATTTTTGCCGCTAGAGGCCATCCGTGTTTTTTTCGCATTCGTTGTACATGAACAGCTTCCATTATTATTTGTAAGAACGTACACGCCGTCTTTGAGTTGTGATAAGTTTTGTCATTAACTCTAATAGGGTTTTGTTGGTGGTTGTTATATCTTTGAGAAGTTTCTTTCTTCAGTATTTGCTTCGCTTCATAGAATACAATACCCGTTTTTTGTGGAGATATTTTACAAGTTCTAAGGCCGTTTACGGTATGTAACAACAATTGCGCATTACCTTTGACTTTGAATAATGATTTTCTCAATATTGCACAAGGAAAATCCATTGGATAATTCCACCGCCTTCATCATTGTATCCTTCAAATTTGTTTGTTATACGACGATATTAGTAGCTGTTGCTTTGTGAATTACTTTTTAGCGCATTTCCACAAAAAAAAATGCGTTATTGTGGCCACGTTCCGTCCGTCCGTCCGCTCGTTCGCTGAGACGCTACTAGTTCTTTATCTTAAGAGCTATTGTTCTATTTTTTTCGCTATTTGCTTCGATATGGTGTCGAGGCTTGCACCAAGGAAGGAATTTTTTCTGCGTTTATTACTAAAAAAGTTATTGTAAAAAAACCAAAAAACCGTTTTTTACATGTTCCATAATTTTACACTTTTGCCGTTTATTAACTATCCTAGAGATCGTGTATAATTTTGTATTGCTGTCTGTCGTCTGTCTGTTGGTCTGTCCGTCTGTTCCTTTGTCTGTCTGTCCCTCTATCTATCCGTGTGAACGATAATTTTGTTGAGAAATGTCCAAACGCTTTTAGATCTTCGTTAGTTATGAACTGAATTGCATGAAATTCAATATGGGCATAGCTTTAGCCATATAATAGGCGATGCCAAAAGTTGAGTCGAATCGATTCAAAATTCACAGTGCCCTTTTCGCATCTCGACCATTTATAAACCGAATTGCACTTTTTTATTTATAAAAGTATTTGAATGAAATTTGATACATAGGCGCTTGGAATAAAGGAAAATCTAACGCCAGTTTCAAAATTTGGTTTTGCGCATGCGCAGATTCCAACTTTCTTATTTAGAAAAGCATTGAAATGAAATTCTTCTTATAAACAGAAATTGAAGTAGCCCGTTAAAAATGGATTGCACATGTGCACGTTATCTTTCATATTTGTGGCCGGATTTTTACGATTTTAACAGAAGTTGCATCTTACAAATAGGAAATGAATGCAAGTGGAAATGCGCTTTTTGTAAATCGTTTACGATTACTTTTTAACTTGTTTGAAATTACAGAGACCGAAACCAATATCTACGATTTTTAGTTAGGTTACTTGTGCCACTCCGAAGAATTTGTTCACGCTCCATTATTTACATTTTGAATTAATTAGAACCAATTGTATCCATGATCGAATTAAAATTTTGCTTTTGTTATTTGTTTGGTTAACATAATCTGAATTATTGATTCGATTCTTCTATTTGTTTTAAGAAGGTAGCGGTAGAAAGTATAGGGAAGCGTTGACCTTCACTGTGATTGGTTAAAACACGAGTCAGTATTAAGCTGAAAAATAAAACGCGTGACGGATTTTGTAAGGTGGTAGTTTCTATTGCCAACTAAACTGTCGAACTGGCATTGGCCGTTATTGTCTAAATCCATGGGTGAAATCGTTTGATTTATTTCTCTTCGCAGTGCTCGACATTTCTACTTTACAATAATTTGGAGTCGTTTTATATTTTTCCTGTGTGTGCAAACATAGCGCCATCTAGGTCTTATAATGAATGTAGTATAGATAGTATACAATGTATTTTAGAGACATTGCTATACCGCAATATTTGTACCGCGCTATTCACTATCCCTCTTGCTTGCTTGTTTATGTTGTTATCGGTTACAGATAAAACAGATAACGCCCTTCTGAGCTCAAAGGTAAGCATGGCTATTTTCGACGACAACTTGATACAACGTTTGATTACATACGTTTTCGATACAATCGAATTGTAATTACTACATTTGTTTGATAAGTCATAGCTCCGTTGTTTTCTGCGGAATCTTGTTTGGATATTGACCCTGACTACGAGTTCATACCCTTCTTGTTAAAAATTTTAAACTGTGACATTTCAGATCTAGATATTACGGTGTCCTATTCGTAACAAGATCGTAATTTTCGTTTACGCTAAACATAATACTTTATTATGAAATACTGTGTATACAAAAGTTGGTTTTTAATTAGCTGATACAGTGCAGCGTCTAAATATGTATGTGTATGTGTAACGATACGCTGGGTTACCTACTCGGCTATCGGCTTATTCTTAAATTTGCGAGTTATTGATTACCTACTTTTTAGGAGTGTATTCAATTAATTAATTTAAAAATTGTTAACCGTAAGTCAGATTTATAATTTAAAAAATGTTTATTTCACATTCAAACTGTTTATTAAATTTTAAACTTAAATTAAAATTAACATTAAAATTGAAATTAAATTAGTTTTTTGTTTGGTAATTGGACATTGCTCTTTGAAGGTAATGCAACCTTTATTTGGAAGAGAGTGAAAATTTGGTGTTGTACGAGTATTATTTATTATTGAAGAAAAAGAGGAATTTTGATAGCGTATCCAGATATTATTTATAGCTTATCATTTCCTAACTTCAAAGGGCGGATTCCATTGTACAGGGTGGTTCAAACTCGTGTCTCACCATTGGGATCTGCGTAACGCATTTACAGTTTCTGAAAGATCTTTGAAAGTAATCGAGATTTTCCCTAGTTGAAACGGTCGGAAATGGAGGGTTCCCGTTAGCACTTTCTATGGGCATTTTTTTTCGGAGAATCTGAATCGGAATTTCCATAACAGGCTAGATGTAGAAGATACTATTTTCTGATTTCTTTTGGGCGCCATATTGAATTTTTAAAAAATGACGTGCCGCATTCTATACTTTTACATAAATAAGCTCGTGGGCCACTGAAAATTTAATCAGTTCTTCCTTGGATGATGATAAACATAAAACTAAAAACAGAATTGGAAACCGTTCGCGAGTAATCATGTACACAGACGGACGGACAGAGCCGCTATACAAGGATGGTCCAGAGCAACCGTCCATCCGTTTTATAAATCAGGGGCTTGACCATTTTTAACAAATATACCGCAGGGAGCTCACTAATATTGTTCTATCGCATTCGTCATTACCAGCATACTGGATTCCCACAATCCCCACTCTTTGGCGGGGGAGGGGGGGGGGGTCGGCGTGTAACTTTGTAATTCCAAATGGGAACCCAAACTTTTTACATTACATTGCATACTTACTAAATTCTACCATTGTATATTTATTCTACTCAAATATGAAAAATGTATTCGAAACATTTTTTTTTCACTACTAGCGTCTGATGACATGATTATTAACCTTTTTTCCACTTGTAAAGTAGGCTTTCTCGGCATTTGTTCAAAGTGGTTAATAATGTGGATATTATTAACTAGTAGTCAATAATGAGAACTGTCACGCTGTCACTTTTAGAATACACAACCCGAAAATTCGCTCAATGAACGTTTAGACAAGTTCTCTAAAATGAATAATTCCTACCATCCGCCATTTCCAGAGAAATTAAATACCTAAAAAACATTTAAAAAAAATTCGAACGAAATTACTGTTTGAAAATATCTCAATGACAGAACAAAATACGGCCTGTTTGACTTGTACTTCTACGTACTTGATGTTAAATTAATAAACAAAAAATTCTGTCCAACCGTTCATTTTCTTAGATATTAATATAATATGTTAATTTAGAGGACTTCAAGTGCTAGTAGTGAAAAAAATAGCATATATACCACGGTAGAGAAGTCTATTATTGCCTTCGCACCTTACACCCCTCGGCGCAAGCGCCTCGAGATGTAATCTTGGTGCTCAGCCAATAATACTGTACTTCTCTACCTTGATATATAATGTACTATTTCTTGTTGCAGCAGGTGGCGCTGTAATCACGGAAACCAATTTTAATGTTTATAAAAAAACATGTTCCGTAACGTAACTGAAATTTAAAAAACCATAAAACATCAACAAAAAAATATTCCAAACCCTAATCTACTCTGCTGAAATATTAAAGTTTAAAAAACATTTGATTTACAAGATACAAATTTACTGTTTCTGTGCTTACAGCGCTACTTCTTACGACAACAAAAAATGCGTGTGGGGGGAATTCAATTTCCGGGCCATTCGATAGAAAACCACAATATTAGTACATGGGCTACAGTGCCCCCCCCCCCCCCCCCCCCCATTTTGTTCATCAATTTTGTGTCGATCTCATTTCCATTATGCGAGATTTCTTGTATGTTTTCCGTGTTGGGACAAAGTTCGGGTTTGGGCCCCTCCCTTTACCAAATCCTGGGACCGCCACTGCTGGGCTATTTATCAAAAATGTTCAAGCCCCTCAGCCTCAGTTATAAACCGGGTGGTCTCCTGTATTTATTTATAATTAAAACATCAACACAGACAACTACAGCGGACCGTCTACTAAAAGAAAACCAACACCAATTAAATAATGATATAGAAAAAACTGACAGTTATTATGTGGGCTGCAAACGTTTTCTTTGACATAAAAATTAAAATAAACGGCTAAATATGAGAATATGTTACTATAATTTATACATGAAGAATTCATAGATACACAATTTTACGCAAAATTAAAA